AGAAACCAGTCGCCTACATTAGTAGGAAGTTGTTTCCGCGAGAGACCAGATATTCAGCGGTGGAACTGGAGTGTCTGGCTATCAAATGGACGATCGACTCTCTCAGATATTACCTGCTGGGGCGAGAATTCACCCTTGAGACTGACCATCGTGCATTGAAATGGTTGGAGGCCATGAAAGACACAAACAGTCGCATCACACGATGGTTCCTGTCTCTTCAACCTTACCGGTTCAAGATAAGTTACATTCCAGGAAAAGAGAACAAAGTTGCAGACTTTTTGTCTCGCTGTGGACACAGCGAGTCTCCTGAAGGGAAGGGAAGTGTGAGGGATTTACCCCCTCCCTAAGAGGTGCTGTTTTTCATGTTCTTTGTATACTCTGGGTTATTTGGGTGAATGTATTGTTTTGGGAGGTGGTTTGATTTGTTTTAATCATCTTTCTCATCTCTTTGAGGTCACCTGGTCCTGTGTTGCCGTGGAAGCGCGCCCATGAGCAACGCTGACGAGGACCTGGTGTTTCCAATCAGCCTCATTGGGAAAATCCATTTTTGGAGAGGGAGAAATGCATTTCTATTTTGACTGGATTCCAGATTGTTTGTTTCTAGTTTTGTTTTGGTTGTGTTTAAGTTAATGGTAAATTTATAGACACTTTTTAGGTATAGTTTAGAGTATGTTTGTTTGTTTCTAGCTGAAAATGACTCTGCCCCTCTAATTAGTTCGGATGGGAGCCCAGCCTTTAAAAAACCAGGTGGTTGGGATGATAAGGGAGTCTCCCTCTGGCTTTGACAAACATGTGGTGCTGTAAAACTGAAATGTAATGTATGAAACTGAAAAGAAAAGATAAAAGCTACCGAGTGCTCGACAACTGCAGACTCCAGCCTCCTTCCTCCGTGGCCGCAAACTAACAATAGAGAAATCTCATTCTCTGTTTTTCATCTAGGGTGTATAAACATAAACATTATGGATGGAAACGTCAACATTGAAGTGTATAGGAAATCCACTCACACAGACAAATATCTTCTTTTTGACTCACACCACCCACTGGAACACAAAGTTTCAGTCATCAGAACCTTACAATACCGGGCTGAGCATGTCCCTATTAAAACAGAAGGGAAGCATAAAGGACAGAAACACATCAAAAATGCTCTTCAAACTTGCAGATAGCCAAACTGGGCGTTTGTCAAATCAGCAAGGAAGTCCAAAAGACACGCAGCAGAACATAACGGGGAGAAGATTCAACAGAAAAACATCCCCATCCCATATGTAGCTGGAGTCTCTGAAAAACTCAAGAGAATTTTCTCCAAACACAAAATCCCAGTACATTTAAAACCTAACAAGACCCTTAAACTAAAGACAAAACCCCTAAACCAACTATGAGCGGAGTGTAATATTTGCTACACTTTGCATTTGCAATTTGCATGTTTTTTTAAGGCAAAACAAGGCTTTGTTGTTGGTCCAGTCTATAAAACCTCAAACTCAACACTATTTCTGACACGTTTAATTTAAAAAGCTTCCTGGATGTAAGCGAAACATCTTCAAACTTGGAAACAAAGTCCAGTGGATTGTGTTTTTTAACTTTTTTTGGAATGATTATGACCTGAATGACTGAGAATCTTCACCAGCATAAACATTTGGGCTTTTGATCACATATGTGACCATTAAAAGATCAAGTTGTCAATTAATAGATTATAGCCAGAACTTGTAATGGTGAAACCAGAAATCTGTTAAAGGAAAACTCAGTAAAATGCATTAATTACGATAACTAAAAAATGCCATCTGTTTACCTGCTCAACTGCCAGGAAATTTGTGTTATGCAATACTTACAGTTGCTACATAAACTTCTTCTCCAAATTTTGATTTTTTACTATGACTCGAAAAATAATACAAATTTTGCCTAGATGGAGAAAACATTTTAGAGATTTCTGAGAAAACAAAAAACAGACACAGGTTGTTGGCTTGACAGAGCCCTACCAAGCTTGTTCACATTGAAAATGGTGAGGCCACATGTTTCTGCTTACGGATTTAATCTGAGAGGCAAAGAGAAGCCAGAGAAAAGCTTCTTCTGTTACCACAGGTGTTTTAGGACAACTGGTGGACCTGAGATTTATCTAGTCAAGAAATAGCAGCTGTACTGCTGCCATCATCAGCTTTGTATATAGATGTTCAAGCTTGACCTGGTTTTCAGTGCAGTTCTATTTTTCTGACTTTGACTAACTGGTTGTGCTCTCTTCATCCTCTGATGGGAGCTGGCTCGGAGCCCGTCTGTCTGACTGTGGAGCTGGTTGACAGTTACCTTTTGTATCTCTGTTTCTTTCTGTATCTCTGCTTCTGTCTCCTTGAACCCCATTAGCCTCAGCAGATGACCGCTCACATTGAGCCTGGTTCTGCTGAAGGCTACTTGCTGTTAAAAGGGAGTTTTTCCTCTACCCTGCATGCTTAGTGTGAGGGATAGCTGTCGAGTCAATGAGTCGATACAATCAACTGGGTTTACTTAGAAAACTTTGAACCAATCTGACTGCATGATCTGGTTGAATTTTCTCTGAATTGAACTTACAGTAAATTACCCTGGTACACATTAAGGTTTGAGGTTTTAATCTGAAAATGGGGATTTGAATATCTTGCACTGAATTTAGGTAAGTGTGAAATATCAACCCATATTGCAAAATTATACCTTTGTTCTAAATCATTTGCAAACAGAGATCTAACTTTGGAGAACCAACCCTATAGGGCAGAACGCCTTGCATACATATGTATCATATAACTTAAAACCAAATATTTTCCATACAAAGTTTCGACATAATATGAAATCATTCCTGGAATGCAAACTGCCATGCAAAATAAACATACTAACATATTAGAACCCATGTTTCGGTACAGGGCCTGCAGAGGCTAAACCAGTCTGACCTAAAATAGGTTTGAAAAATGTGGATATGCCACAAGAATTGAGATAAAGCTGATGAAGGAGGAAAAGGATAGAATAACTCAAAGAGCAACAAACAAAGCTTCAGACATTGGGACAGAAAAAAGATGACAGTTGTGTGGAGGACAACTGTAGAGGGCATGGGAAAAATCTGTGCTACCAAGGAGGAACCATTGATTCTATTGACAAAAAAAACAAAGGTGTTTGTAGAATGTCTGCATTGTTAGAACTGCATTTAACCATGGTAGAACTAAAGATAAAGCAGATATATCATGCATATTTCATATATTTTTAACTTGGGTCAAAAACCTTCTTTGTTAAATATTATCTAAAACTACTACTCACTAGTAGGTGTATCAGAGGAGACAGGCTGCATTTACATTCTAGAATGTATTTTGCAGTTTTCTTTCTCTGAATAATACAACAAAAATTTAGAAAATTCTGCAAAATTATAATAAAATAACAAAAAATGACAATATGACCATGGTCATACGTATTCAGACCCTTGCTATCCAGTAGAAGCTCCCCTGAGCTAGTACAGACATGGATCTTCTTAAGAATGATGCAATACTTTTGTTTTTGTTTTGTTTTTTCCTCTGCAATTATTCCTTGCAGAACCTCTCCATTTCTGTAGGGTTGGATGGTGAATGTTGGTTAAAAGCCATTTTCAGGTCCCTCCAAAGATGTTCAATTGGGTTTAGGTATGAGCTGTGTCTAGGCCAGTCAAAATGGTCATAGTCGTTCTGAAGCTACTCATTTGTTATTTAAGTGATAGTTAACTTTGTGGAAGTTTCTGCAATCTTCTTACTGCATATTGGGAGCTCAACCACCGCAATCATTGGGTTCTATATCTCTCATCAAGGCTCCCCTCCCACAATTGCCCAGTTTACATGTAGCTGAACTGTCAGGTTTAGTAAAAGCTCTGGTCATTCCAAATTTCTATTTTACAGACCATAGTGATCTGAGGGATCTCAAGTGCTACAGAACTTGTTTTGTAACCTGAACCAGATCTGTGCCTTGCCACAACTCTGTCTCTGAGCTCTTTGGGCAGCTCCTTCATGTCATGATTCTCGTTTGTTCTGACATGCACTGTAAGCTGTAAGGCCTTATATAGACAGGTAAGTACCTTTCCAGATAAAGTCCAGAATGTTTCATTAATCACAACTGGATCTCACTGAGGGAGCGGAAATATTTACAGGAGGATCAAAAGTAATGGGGAGCATGTGAGTTAAACATGAGTTTCAAAGCAAAGGGTCTAAATACTTATTGACTATGTGATATTTTAGCTTTTTTTAAATTAACTGACTTTTCAATTTCCTGGGGGGGGGTTCTCTAAAGATTGGGTGCTTTTAATGTACATTAATGAGAAATTAAAGTGTTAATTATGTTAACAAGTGGCTGCAACAAAGAGAGGGGGTCTATATACTCTCTTTAAAATAGAAAATATATACCTGCAACAAACTTTATGCATGCAACCACTTAGGTGGTTTATGTTCTAGAATGATGTATGCTGTTAGGATTTCTGGTTGAATAATTAGCTTGGCTTTTCATTGCCAAAAGCAAAAAATAGCACACAAAAATTGCTCAAAATGTGTATTAAAGAAGAAATTCAGAAAACAATAATTTAAGAAATAAGAATGATGATTAAACATTTTTGTGTCAAATTAAAAGTTTAAGAAAGTTTTCAGATTTGGGTAGCAGTTCTCTCCTTCACTAGAGGGCGCAGTACAAGAGAGATGAAAATAACCCTTTATGAATTAGAAGAGCCAATGAAACAAAGCTCTGAATAAAGCATCATAATGTTCAAAGCGCACCTTAGTGATCCCAATGACTGGATCTGGGTTCCAGTCTGCGCCATGCGACGCAAAGCTTTAAAAGATATACTTCTAACGCCTAGAGAACAAAGCTACTGTTGTGTTCCATCGTTACTCATCTTCCTTTCCCTTTAAATCATTTAGTTTTTCACACTCGATGAATATGTCAATGGGCCCCTGTAGGGATTTGTGTGCGCTGCCGGGTGCCAGCGGTCCCTCCTCTATCAAACGTCAGAAAGCAGCGGCAGCCTATAAAGCTCATATGAAGCCATATCAGCAGCTCTAAGGCGCATATACCTCGTTAACGTGTCAGCCTGCACTGAAAATAAGACCTGATGCTCTGAAACTAAACGACGCAAAAGTGGGAACAACACAGTCTGTGTTGTATAGGAGGACTGCAAAGTAATGGACTGAGCAGAAGATCACAGAAAGCAGGTCTTTACAGATATTTGTACCGGATGAATTAATAATGGGCGAACACAAATTCGAATTTCTCCAAAGAGGAATCAATGTAGAGCTCAGTTGTTAGTTGGGAAAGAAAACAAGCAGCAGTAGAGCTGAGTTAGAGGCAGTCTTCTCTGTCAATCCTCTCTTTTCAGCTCCCAGGGAAAAACAAATGCGGACAGAAAGATGCATCTGGGTAAAGCTCTACTGTTCGTCCTCCTCCTTAACTGCGCCACTCTGAGCTCTCCGCTGTCCACTTGCGCCACCGTGGACATCGACCATGTGAAGAGGAAGAGGGTCGAAGCGATACGGGGTCAGATCCTGAGTAAACTTCGTCTGACGAGTCCGCCGCACTCCCTGGGACCGACCAACATACCCTATCAGATCCAGGCGTTATATAACAGCACGAAGGAGCTTCTGGAGCAGCTGAGCAGGGAACGGAAGCAGACCTGCGGCCAGGACAACACAGAGACAGAGTACATCGCCAAAGAGATATACAAAATTAACATGGTGTATGGAACGCCAGACAACAGTAAGTTTTCCCCTTTCATACATATTTCCCTCCTCTCTGTAGTGCGTAATTACGCACCGAATAAAGGCCGTTCCAGACGCATAATGATAAAAAATCGACTAACTTTTTACTGGTACTTATTTAAGATCTCTCAATAAACATGTGTCGATTGTATTTTAAGTCTAATAAAAGTCTTATAATCTATCATATAAAGTAGACCTATGCTTTTGCAAAAAGTAGTTTATTCAAGTATACTAAAAGTGCACTAATTTCATACTTAAAATCAGGCAGTGCACTTAGAGTTTACTTATTCTAAACTATATTTCATATACTAAACAATAGTATAGTCAAGTGTACTTTATTGTTTACTAAAGTATACTTTAAGTTTACTTTACTAAACTTAAAAATGTCCCAATTTAGTTCAAAGAAGTATTACTATAGTAATACTTCAAGTACACTAAAAGTACATTGTTCGGTATACTTTCTAAACTTATACTTAAGTATTCTTAATAGAATTTAATTCATGTATACTACTTTTAGAAATCGATTACAGGGTGAGTGAAAAAGATGAAAGGTAACGAAAACCCCTTATTGTGGTTCTTAAAGAGGAACTTGAACTACAGTAAATTTCCTGCATTAGTTTTGTTAAACCCCTCCTGATTCAGATATAGCATCTGTAGTGCCTTATTGGGGGAAAAATGAGAAAATTAGCTGGAACTTTTTTTAAGTGGTAAAGTCATTTTTTCAGATACAAATACAGCTAGCTTTTCATTTGAAAATCAAGATCCCAGAGTTTGAAGAAATACAAAAAAAAACAAGTTGAATGGGTGTCAGTGCATCTCCACAGTCAGTGAAGTCAAAGACATCTGCTGATTTCTTAAAGCAAGCATGCTTTCATTCTGCTGACAAACTTCAAGAAGGTCATGTCATCTGCCGACACTGCTCCAGGACCATCCTGGTTTAATGAGTATTTTATCACCTGGACTGATTAGCCAGAAAAATGGACCCAACTCCTGAGAGTATTGACAAGAGAAACAGGAAAGATGCCACAAAGGATTAGCTGAAGACCACAATCAAAGCAATCTAGAGTTCCTGAACACCCCACTGCACAGACAGGTCACCTCCATGCTTTAATGTAAGGATGCAGTTATCCATGAAAACAGGACAATCTTATTTTTAATAGAGTCCCATTTTTATATTAGAAATAGAGAATGTAAATACATTTTTAAGTGTTTTTATGTGGTTTTATTGTCAGAGAAAATATGTGTGGGTTTTCATTAAACTTATATTTTCATCCAAATGGTGATAAAGGCTTAATATTAATCAGTTCGTAATAAATCTACATGATGAAAGGTCAAGTTTTTGTATTGTATTGATAGAAAAAATAAATAAAACATTGCTGGATTTTGTAACATTGCATTTACAGAGGCATCATATAAAGATTTCCGACATTCTGGGACCTTTAGCAGTTTAGGCAATTCCATTTGTATCTGAAGTGAGCTTCTTTCATTCTTAAACTCAGTGTAACCCATTAAATAATACATAAGCATGTAAGATGCAATTTACTGACACTTATTATATATTAGCCAACAAATATTTAACCCAAACTGTTTTTTTACATAAACATTACAAGTGTCATTGCAATAATGACTGAGTTGATATTGTTAATGATAACTGTGCAGGCGATATTCTAGAATCACCAACCGTTTGGAAGCTTCATGGCTTCATGGGTAACGATTCATTTGAAATACTGATCTATGAACTGAGAGTCGGTGTCCACCTAAACGCCATGTATAATAAACTTAATTTTAATGTTTCTTTTAGATATCATCAGTTTAAACTCTGTAAATGCAAGTGCAGTTTAAAAAAAGAAGAGCAATTAAATCAAATCTCTCAGGTGAGTTATAGAGGGAAAGTTAATCTAGTTTTTAAATTCCTTCCAAAATGCAAACTGGATTGAATAACATATAAAATGATACATGTTTTAAAACTATTTTAATTGTTTCTGTCAGACCTACCCCATAATGTTGTTTTAAGTCTAATACTCAGAGATTTGATATGAGCACAAAAACACAATGAATCTTTTATTTTTCATTTTTAAGTATTGAACATAAACAGGCTACACCTCATTCCTCTTGGAGGGAAAACATGAACCACTGTGTGACTTATCAGCCTTCTTTTAAGAATACAAATGTAATATATCTATTGCTTTATATTGATATTTATATTAATTTACTCCATTAATCCATCCATTTTCTGTCACGGTTATCCCAAGCAAGGTCACAAGGGATGCTGGTGTCTATCTCCAGCTGTCTACGGGCGAGAGGCGGGGTACACTCTGGACAGGTCGCCAGTCCATCACAGGGCAACACAGAGACAAATAGGATGAGCAACCATTCACACACACACACACTCACACCTAAGGAGAATATAGAGAAGCCAGTTAACCTGACAGTCGTGTTTTTGGACTGTGGGAGGAAGCCGGAGTACCCTGAGAGTACCCACACATGTACAGGAGGAACATGCAAACTCCAAGCAGAAAGACCCTGGGCCGGGAATCAAACCAAGAACCTTCTTGCTGCAAGGCAGCAGTACTACCCACTGCCCCACTGAGCAGCCGTTAAATGACTTAACTAAACAATATATGTATTTTTTTCAAAATAAAAATAGTTCAAAGGTTTCTTATATGCCACAATATTAATTGACTCCAGCTGATCAGGTTTGCCATCTTGCCAATGTTATTACCAAACACACACAGTGGAAACTGTAGCTGTTTTTTTAGTTTTAAAAATACATTACATTTTGTGAGTTCCTGCTGTGGATATCCACACTTCTGCACCTATACATGTTTTTATTGTCAGCACGCATTTTTTTAGTGGGTGAAAAAAATATATCACTGGGTAGTATCTTAAAAACCAGAAAGACAAGTTTGCCTATGGAAGGAAATGTACTTTTCAGTGCTTTTCCACCTGTTTTAACTCTGAAACAGGAAGGTCATCCCCTTCCTATATTTCTGCACCACCCTTCTCCCTCTTGTGTTTCCCCCCTTGATGGATCATGTTCTACCTCCCAGATGTTCCCATTTCCTTTCCAGTCAGGCCCAAATAAGAGGGACATTTGCCTTGGCGGATGGGGATGTCTTTAGGGGAGAGTTAACAGAAGTGGACAGGAAGGGTTAGAGGATAGAGGGGACCCCCTCCTCATTATGAGAGGGATCCTGCTCTCAGAGAAGGCCTCATATATTTCCAGTCACACTGGTATGAAGATGCTGCTCCTAATGAGCACACTGTGTGTCTTGGCTTGATAATTGCACACCCACAGCTGGCCGTCAAGGCCAAGCTCACCTAACTGTTAAGTTATGCTTAAAGAGCCTTTAATGTGAATGTCTTAATTATGCCTCTAATTTATTGCCAGTACAACACTAAGTAATTTTGTTTATAATGAGCTTTACTTTGGGTGGAATCAATTTGTTTAAATAATCAGAAAAGACTGTTTGAGCTTTAATTCCTCCTCCTCCACGTATTTCATGCCAAGCTTATATGGTTACCATGTTTTTTTTCTTTATGAAATACAGGCGATGAGAATGGAAAACTGGTGGAGAGAGGGACACGTGTCTGTGGTCAGATTGGTAGTAGAACAGGATAATAAATGCTAAGGAAGGCTCACGGTCCAGAGCAAAGCCAAGCTTATTGCATCACAGTGCCTTTGAAATTAAGAGGTTTTCCTGAAGTGTAACTTTCCCTCTCTAATGTTCTGGTTCAAATCTTGCAAAAGTGATTTGGACCAAAAAACACCAAAGAGTTTTCTCTTGCTCACAGAACCCTAGATTAGCTTTGGGTGAAATAATGACAAACTGATTAACTAGATCTCTAGTTTATTTTAGTATAATCACATGTGAACAACTGAAAATCAAATAGATGAAGAGAAGGTTGAATTTACAATGTTATTCAGCGATGTTGCTTATATTATTAGTACTACTGCCATTTCAAACTGGAGAGACTCAAACAGAGAAAAAGCAGCAGTTAGATGATTCATTAAGGCTCAGGTCTTGACATCAATGCTGAATGCAGTTCAGCATAACCAGGTAGGTCTAGGTTAGTGATAGCTGCCCCCAGAGTCTGACAATGGTGGTGGGATGGAGGCTGTAGGGAGATGTATGGAGGGATGCTGTTCAGTAGGAAGTGATGATGTCCCAGACAGAGATTGGCTTATATGAAGGCATGGAGTTGTGGTGATAGGCTGGAGCAGAGGCCCATGATGAGAAGAGAGGGTTGTAGATGAGAACCTTTTAGATTGAATTTGTCCAACGACTTCATATCACTTACTGTATGGTAATTTTCAATGTTTTTATGGGATCAAGTGTGTTTTGGTATGTAAAAATATGTATATTTTGTTTCAAATTTTTAATGTGTATATTCAGTCAGTGTGGTTACTAGAGTTAATTATGTTTTTTGCTGATGTGTTTATATATAATATTGCAACGTTCATCATTTGATCCTAAAAATGTTGATGCCTACTCTAAAAGTTAATTATTTATAATTATCAGATATAATAATTGGACAAGCACCATAACTTCATGTTGCTATTTTGGGTAATGTGTGTTATTTTTATATATGTTGGGTCTACATTTTATAAAGAAATTAACACAAATGCTAAATCAAAGTGTAACAATCTTAGTAGTGGAAGCACTCTGATTAGGAGCAATTAACCCACCAGATCAAAAAAGATCCTGTGCTTTTAATCTATCAACGCTAATAAACCAGGAAATGTGTATAAATTAACATTAAAACTTTTTTAAAAAGTTTGTGAGATAAGTATTTTGAACAAAAAGTAATGGAAAAAATTAGCTGTTGTTATTTTAAATGGCAGTATATCAAGAGAAATCGTAACTCTTTTATATTCTGTAAGAACACATTTTCTGTATGTGTATCTTCTAGATTGCCTTTAAAAAGAGGTCAGTTTTTTTAAGCGTTGGAATTTAGCAGCCATGACTTAAAACTTGAAGCACAGCAGAACATGTT